GACTCCAGGGAAAGACCACTAGACTTAGATTGGGAAACAGATGAAACCCTGTCATCACAGTTTTCCCACTGCATTGTTTTCTCGGATAGACTCTCTAGGAATTCCCAAGCTTCATCGGCGTTTTTTCTCATAAAATCTCCCTGACACATCGATTCTAAAGATGTTTTTGAAGAATAGTCCAATCCTTCATATATGACTTGGCACAATCGCCATTTTTCTAGACCGTGATGAGGACATTGGATTAAAAGATCTTTAAATCGGTCAAAGTATTTCCAGAATGGCTCTCCCGGGACAATTTTGAAATTCTGAATGCTGTTCCTAAGCTTTACCGTTTTGTGAATAGGGAAAAATTTCTTGAGAAAAACGGTGACAAATTCCTCCCAAGTTGAGATGGAATTTATCGGTAAGCTGTACAGCCATTTTTTAGCTTTGTCCTTTAGAGCAAATGGAATAAATCTAAGCTTAATCGCATCTTCAGTTAATTCCCTCATTTTGATCATAATACATACTTCCTCAAATTCTGAGATAAATATATATGCATCTTCTGTTTCATTACCTAGGAATTTGGGAAGCATGTTAATGAAATGCGGTCTAAGCTCGAAATTTGCTCCATTTACTTCGGGGAGTCTTATGCAAGATGGAATTGCATTTCTGGTGGGGTAACACATATCCTGAAGAACTGGTTGATTTGCCATTTCTTGAATTGGTTCAACACGGATTAAGCGATGAAAATTATCCCGAACCCAAATTTGCATACACCAAAACAATTTTTTTTTTAAGGAAAAAAGAAAATTAGTTTTTTTTTTCTTTTTAAGAAAATTAATTTTTTTTTCTTTTTAAAGGAAGGAAAGAAAGAAAATTAGTTTTTTTTTATATGAGAAGATAAAGAAAAAGAAAAATCCTAACTAAAACAAATCAAGGCAATCACTTTTCAATCAACTCTAACTCTAGGGTTTAGCCTAACTCCACTAGACCAGCTCCTAACCAAAAATTCCTACAGTGAAAAGATCAAAGTTTTACCCAGGTAGTTAGCCAGGTAAGGATAGTACTAGAGGGTGATCAAAGATCAATTAAGTACCTCTTTCCTTGCGGAGCGCTTTACGCAACCCCTAAACCTTGCCTTAGACACCAACTATTCTGAGAAAACTTAAACCGTTCACTTAAGGATTTCTTGTTCCTTATTGAGCTCGAATCCTTAGGGGCCAACGTCTAATGAGTTTTAGAAGGTTTGGATTTATGAAGTGAGAAATTAGTGATTTGTGGGCTAAGGAAAGGGTGATGAAATCCCTTACCTTATCTTGATTGG